CAGGTACTGGAAGATCACTATAAGGTCCCCCCAGAATCTTCACTTCTCCAGGCTGAACAACCCCAACTCTCTCAGCCTGTCCTCATAAGAGAGGTGCTCCAGCCCTCTGATCATTTTCGTTGCCCTCCTCTAGACACACTCCAACAGGTCCACATCCTTCTTGTGCTGGGAGTCCCAGAGCTGGATGCACCACTCCAGGTGAGGTCTCACCAGGGCAGAGGAAATCAAGTACAAAAAGTAATGTCTTATTAATCCAAGACACTAATATCCTTCAGAGCTGCTGACAATCTCCCTTCAGCACAGACAGGCAACTATCTACTTTACAGAAACAACCTATTATTAGATCGTTTGTCTTTAAAGATTACTGAGCCTAAAAGAAGCTTAAAGCTTTCTAAGTTCCACCTGCAGCTTTCAAAGTCTCATCAGCCTGCCTAAGAAATACAGATCTTCCTTAATATCTCACTCAGATATTAGCTAACTGATTCATTGCAGTAAAAACCCTGCTAGTTTTAGCTCTCCTGTTCTCAGAAATTCTTTTCCAATAAAGCAAAAATGTTGTCCAAATAGGAACAGGGGTTCTGGAGTAGCTGGTGAAAGAAACAGAAAGAAACAGAGCCCATCTAGACACAAAGAGATAACTAAAAAAATTGATGTTCTTTATGCAAAAAATCAAGATAATTTTTAGCAATAATCTCTCTTCATGTAGAACAAGTTCTACAAGAGAAGATGAGCAAAAGGTATGGAAGAGACAATGTTGACACTTTAAGCTGGGCTAAGGGAAATAATTCCTGCTTTTTTTGTGGCATTTCATGAGAGCTAGATGTAAAGATAAAAACATACTTTGTAATAGTTCAGGAAGTAGACTAACTGGAAAAATGTCAAATATTGGGTCTTACTGAGGAAATTCATACTGTACAGTATCTGGATGCTAGGAAAATAAAAGAAAATAGAGAAAAAGGGCTAAATGAAATGACACATACATTACAGTGAAAGCTAAATGCCCAGTAGTTAAGAAAAGCATGGGGGAAAAATAAGATCAATTGATTGTTACATGAAAATAAATAAATTCACACCTCCCTCCCCCCTAGTTAGCATGAAGGCATAATATTGTGATCATATTTATAAATATGCTCAGATTAATTTTATGTCTACAATCAGTATAAATTCCTTTTGTACTGAGGAGAACATAAAAATTGTAGATTATTATCCCCACTATCCAAAAAAAAACTTTGTCAGAGAACACATGTCATTTTATGGAGAAAACCTGCATTTGCTGGATATAAAGTGACAGCTGTGGTAGTAACAGATAACAGACCACGGCTTGATTGCTTCAGATTTGAATGGTATGCAGAAGAAAATTATTTCCAGTACATGGTGTCAAGGTACCTGCCATCTAACGTTGTCGTTTAAAGGAAAATATTGAAGAGATTATTTAGAGAGTCAAGTTCAGATCTGCTTGGGTACCAGTAAACTGTAGGTCAGTATTTGAAAACCAGGACTGCTCTGTGCTGAAATTTGCTATGAGAAGCTCTTGGAACCACAAATGCTAACAAATAGCTCTCTAAGCAGAGAAATTTACAAACCCCGTCATTTTCGTCACTTTTTATCCCAGGGATCACAGTCCTTTTCTTCAAAAGCAGCCAAGAGAACTGCGCTTACAGAACCTCAGAGCTCCTTCTGCCACAGTTTCAACATACACTGCAAATTGTTTGCAGAGGCCACAAGACACCATGGTTTCTTCTGCACATCTACCCTCTGGTTGATGACACCAACTCTACAGGTCCAGGTCCTGCAATAATGACTTTGAACAATGATCTCACTCATTTCCTGATGGCCTTTTTATAAAGACTCCTACACCCATGTGAGGTGACTGGGCACAGAGAGTTCATCTGGCACATGGTGGGCTGAGTCTGTAAGATGCTGCTCCAAGTACACCACCTCTCCCAGGACCTTCTACCCAGGTGTATTTTTGAGTCTCTGTGTGCTCTCCCCAGAATTATGTCTCCCTTTTACTTCTATCAGCTGCTCCCAGCAAAAGCTACAGTCAATGCAACTTGTATCTGACTAGTTACTCCTTCAAGTAACTATGCCTTGCAGAATTCAACATGAAAATCTTAAGTAAAGGTGAAGATTACTTGGCCAACAGGGACCAGGCTCATTGCTTAAAGTGAAGTATAATCGGTTTTTCTCTAGTTGCTCTTCTAATCATTCTTATTTTCCATGTGCATGCTTAATATTTGGGTTCTGTGCTGTGACAGACAGTTCCACAACTAAAAAAAAACCCAACACGTATTTACAAAAATCATCCATGCCTGTTTCACCTAAGTAGAAGAGTCTTTCTGTCTCTCTAGTTAATCAAAGTGCTCAATATTTCTGATGCTTTGGTGATGTCCCCTTTCCATATGTGGCTGAATGTTGGCAGTGGAAATCCCATGGCAGTGCAAGCATTTGAGGTGCTGTCAGTTGGCTTCTCTTGGCTGGTTAGAGATACATTCATTTATAGAGCAGCTTAGCAGCTTATCTTAGTAAACAGTGCTAACAAATTCAGATTTCTTCCCTTTCTTTGAGACAGTTAACAGTGATAAAAAATAAGGGTAGTTTCAAAAATTGGTTAATAAACTAAAGACATGAAAGAAATGTCTAAGCAGTGGGCAGAACCTTCTTTCAGGACCATGAAAAGAATAAGTTCATACAGCTCTTCCAAATTTCTTTATCACATTCTGGTAGACCTCTTAGCAACAGTCCAGCAATCCATGTCTTCTGTTTTAGATAAAAGTAATCTGGACTAGTTAAGTAATCCGATTGGTTTATTAAATTGATACACTTTAAACAGAAACATGCAACACTAACAGCTGAATGAGTCCTTTGGTTTGAATTTACACGGGATATATTTGCAACTTAGTTACTGGTGAATGGAAGAATTTATGTAATTTTTCATAATCAGGCTTCTTTCCTATTTGTGGTTCTTATATGTACACTATAGCTCATGCTTATTTCAGTTAAATGCCTGAAGAAAGATTTAGCTGACATTCAATTAGTGATGTAATGCAGTGTGATAAAGGAGTAGGTAATTTACTGTGTTCTATTTGGGAATCTTGCTTGTTTGCATTAACATTCTCAATAGACCAGCCAGTTACAACAAAGGCAGGCACTGCCCCCACCTCGAAGAACTAACAACCCAAAAGATGATGAGTACAGAAAAGAAGGCAGAAACAGGTCTGTACGTAAAGGTTTCTTAACATCACATTGCTCCACTCAGTAGGATGGGAAAGACAATACCAGTACCTAGAAAAGTGATTTAATACAACCTGAAAGCCTATCAAAGAGACACACTAAATGCCTAGGTTTGCCTCACAGCAATAATTTACACATCATCATAAATGGGAGGTCAGCTCTGGATAACCTCTGTTTACACATGCAGAATAGGTCATGGTTCAGTCCTAAATGATATGGCAAGATTAAAATAACTCAAAGTATTTCTGCACACTACTGAGAGTGACTGCTTAGATCTGTTCTATGGCTGTATCGAATATGTGCCATGATGAATCTGATCACATTTAAATTCATATTTAAATTATTTCTTCCCTAAAAATGTTTTTTTCCCTGCTTCATACTCTCCCTGGACTCCCTTTTGCCTTCACAAAGGGAATTAAGGTTCCAATTCAGCTACCTTCCTCATTTACTGATTGCAAAAATTAATATAGACCCTCACTGTATTTTTCTCAGGGTGGCGAACAGAGAAGAAAAAGATTGACAACTACTGCCTCTACTTGAGGCCTGATATATGCCTGTACTACTAACATCATTCCCTTACAGGCTGAGGCAGGGAAACTGTTTTGGCAAGTTCCCTCCGAGCCTAAAACAGGCAAGAAAAGGCAAAAAGAGTAGCAGGAGTCCCCCCCCCCCCTCCCCTCCTTGCTGCCTGTGAGTTTAGGTGGAATCTGGGGAAGCAGATGGATGCCAGGGGAAGTGCAAAGGATGGGTGGAACAGCCGCCTGTCGGTGGGATTCACACCGACCCCACGGGGATGCTCCAGCACGGGGGTTTGCGGGACTTGAGGCGGGACGGTGGCAGCAGGTTCCATCCAAAGGCAGAAGAAGGTGCTACAGAGCGCCGAAAAAAAGCCTGGCAAAATTAGCAGTACAAGTGAAGGGAGAGGGAAAGGAAAAAGCGCAGGGCTTTGCGGAGAGAAACAAAGCCTGACATTTGGGAATGCCGGGCTGTAAAAAAACCCCAAGGAAAGCCGTGAGGAAAGTTTAAAGGAACAGCAGAAGCGAAGTTCCTGCAGCCGGCCCTGCTGGTACACGCACAGCAATTATCATCCCCCCCCGCGCAGTATCTGAAGCTGCACAGGAGCTCATTCCCCGAATAAACCCACACAAACTCCGTCTCAGCTCTTTGTTCCCCTCCTGTCACC